AGTCAGATCAACCAATTCAACCTTACTGGACTTTATTCTGTCCTCATATAGACCAGAGAGTGGCATTTGACAGACCTGACCATTTCTTAATAGAATTCTGAATAAGCAAAGACTTCAGTATGCTCTAAAATATAAAATTTTAAAAAAATGAAAAATTTTTCTAATGCTCTCCTCTGTCCCTCATCTGTCTAGTGCTCTCTAGGTGGAACCACTTTTATGAGTTCTGTGTACCCCATCATTCTTTCTTTAAACACTCCTTAGTCTCCTTTGCCAGCTCTCTTTTACCTGACCTCGGACCTCTCCTCTTCCCTGTTTCCCCCAAGTGACTTATCTAGCTGCACGGTTTAAAATACTAGCTTGAATTTGTATTTTTCATCCTGACCTCTAGATTGGAATACCTAATAGCAGCACTTAGATGATTCCCAGGCACCTCAAATTTAACATGCGCTTTTTCTCCCTCCCCAGCCCTCTTCCTGTAACAAACTTGGCCCTCCCAAAACCTTCCCTCTCCCACTACTTGGCACAACCATCCACCAAGTTACTGAATCCAGAGGCACAGCCATCCTTGACTCTTCTCAATTCCTTACACCTCACATCTAATCCAGGACAAATCCTGTTCCAGATATATGTAGTATCCACACTGCTCTCCACTTTTTTGCCACCACTCTGGTCCAGGCCATTTTCATCTCTCGCTTGGACTACTCAATGGACTCCTAACTACTCTCTCCATTTCTACTCTTGTCCCCTTCAATTCATCCCTCACACATAAGCAAGAGTAAACTACTTATAAATCATACTACTCTCCTACTTGTAACTGTAGAATGACTTCCTAATTACACTCAAAATCAAACCCAAACTCATTTTCATGGCCTGCAAAGGTCTACATAACTTGGACCATGAATGTTTCCTATCTCATCTCATGTCACTATATTCTAGGTGTACGATACTAGAGTCTTAAACAAGCACATATCCACATTAACTGTCTCTCAGACCCTTGATTGTTTCCTTCATAACATTTATGACACTGTGCTTATTCTTTTTTTTTTTTTGCGGTATGCAGGCCTCTCACTGTTGTGGCCTCTCCCATTGTGCAGCACAGGCTCCAGACGTGCAGGCTCAGCAGCCATGGCTCACGGGCCCAGCCGCTCCACAGCATGTGGGATCCTCCCGGACCGGGGCACGAACCTGTGTCCCCTGCATCAGCAGGCAGACTCCCAACCACTGCACCACCAGGGAAGCCCTTATTCTTTCATTTTTGTATTACTGTTTTTCTCTCTGTCAGGTTCCTAACTAAAATATCTATTAGTTTTTGTTTCCCACTGTTTTTCCCAGAACCTGGTAAAAGGCTTAAGACACAAGATGTTTGTTCACTGATTGGATGAATGAACAGATAAATATGACAATAGATATCACTACAAAATAATCTTCTCATGCAAAGAAAGTAAGTGCTAGAAGACACTGTTAAATATCAAACCCCCAAATTTCAATTCTCAAATTCTGTGTCGTGGCTTACACGTATAATGTAAACTGTTAATAACACAAAAAGGTTGAGATAATGGCCTACAAGAATGACTCATTTGGTTAAGAATCCCGCATATGTTGTAAAACATTCACGAAATGTGAGTATATACATATATATATTTACTGAAACTTCATTAATAATGAGCAAACAATAATCGAGTAAGCAGGAACACAAAGATATGCTTTCGAAAGAGGGCTGGAAAAAGTTCTTAGTAACTGCTCAGTAGGCCACATGATAATGATGACATAACAATCATGGTTAACTATATGCCAGGCACTGTTCGAAATGCTTTACTTAAATCTATTCACTTAACCCTAACAATAAAGGTGTGTACTAACTTCAATATCTAGGAGGAAACTGAGATAATAAGAGGTCAAGTAACTAGACTAGCCCAAGGGTTGCACAGTAGTAGACCTGGAATTTGAACTAAGGCGATCTAAATTCATAGCCTAGGCTCTTAACACTATCTACGTAGTCCTTCCAGGAAAATCTATAAAGACCAAGGTTTTATTAATGAACCTCTAGAACAAGAGAAAACACCACGGTGACCTACTAAGAAGATTTTTTATTTCTGGAATACTGACAAACTCTTTAAATTATAGTCAGAGACTAAACAAGTTTTGTGAAATCAATGGAAGCAAAAGGATTCTCACCAAGACAAAAAATAAACTCTTCTACAGTGGCTATTTACTTAGAATGAAATAATTATATTAAAATTACAAATAGCTTGGGAAAATTTTTTATCAGGAGCAAAGAAATTATTATAATTTCCTCCTACGCATTAGCAACGACACTCACTCAGTAGAGACATGTGTTACAAAGATCCTCTGTCTTTTCCACTTGCCAGAAAGAAGACACCTTGATACCTGATAGTAATGAAGCATGAACTCAGAATAACTATTCTGAAGAAGAGAACTAACTTTTTTCTATCCTTATTCCATTCCACTACAAATTTTGCCAAGCATATTTTTGTTTTCCTAGAATTTACAAGACTGAAAATCAGGTAAAAAGGGAAAAAAATGTACATACACATATAGATCCCTTTAATACATAAGAAAACCATTTTCATGCAAACCAGGAAATACTGCGAAACCAAATAAAGATGCCTGGAGACAACCTTAGCAGAAAGAAAGAACACTTGGGACCTCATTTCCAGTTCAGGCTCTGGTACTACCTAAGCCATATGACCTCAGGCAAGCCAATTACTGATTGTTTCTGGGCCCTAATTTTCTCCTCTGTTAGATGAGAAGAATCTAACTCTGTGTTCACAGAGGTTGCTTCTAATTCTAAATATTGTTTTCAATAGGTTTCAGTGAAATAATATAAGGCTTTAGTTAACTATATGTAAGCGCCCAAAAGTTCAACTTCCTCTGCACTTGGAAATTCTTAAGTAGCAATACCTGATGGCCAAAAAGGATCAAATTTAAACTCCCAAATGCAAAACTAAACTCATTCTGAAGTCACCTACTTATAAACCAAGATGACTAATACAGTGGATTACAGTTTCAAACTATTCCTGATTAGCTTTTATTGCATTCAAAAGGAGGGCAAAGATCATCTCAGAGAAGTGTGTGACAAATTTCAGATAAATAACACACTTAATATAAAGCATCAAATTTTGAAATGATGCAAAGTAACAGTATTCTGCACTGATACATTTCCTGCTTTCAGAGTAAAATGACAATATCGCCATATTTTCATTTACATAGTGATTTCACATTTACTATCTCCCTTCATTGCTGTAAAAATCCTATGAAGTAAGCAGCACTTTAATCAACACAATTCAGATCAGCTCAGAAAGTTAGCTAACTTGCCAACCTATGCTCAATAAGTGTTGGAGCCAAGATTCCAATCTAGGTCTTCTGATTTAAAGTTTAATGATGTTTGCAATCCTAAAAACTGGTAATTCAAGCCAAAGGCAGGAAGAAGTTGGAAAGTGAGAAAATTTGGATAATCAGTCCCTGGATAACTGGACTGAACAAAAAGAATATAAGACCAGGTGTGGCAGTTATAAAGTAAAAAGGCAAATTTACCAGCTGTTAAAAATAATAACATCTAATTTATATAATTCCACATTTCAAAAATCTTTTTGCCTCGTTTCAAAGACAAGTGTGAAAAAAATTTCTAACTCAAAAATAAGAATATGTAAATAAACAACAAATTGATTAAACTAGCTATAAAGCATTAAATTGCTAAAAGGTATTAAAACATTTACTGAAGTAGTTCAGAAACTTGATTATTCTGGACTGTGAATCAAGGAATTAAACTATATTAATCAAGTAGGATATATTCCTCAAAGGAAAAAAATGCTCCAGTGTTTTAAAATAATACAGGCAAATAAGTAAAATATAAAAGATTTCTACTGTAGAGTCATTTCACACCTACACAAATTGGCCACATTTGTCTGGGTACCACCACCTCTTCCAAAGGTCAATAAAAAAATAATCTATAATGCATAAAATGTTGCCTAGTAAATAGCAGTTTCTTACTATCATCATTTATGCTGAGAATACACAACTAAAATCAGGGCTGATGATAATACAATTAATAGGTAGTAGCAGAACATTAAATTCTCTATCATTACAACATTAGAAATACTTGTACGAACTTCTCCAAAGGATCAGTGCAATCTGTCTACAGAATTTCTGACAAACCCCAAAGGAGAATTGAAAGACATTAAAGTTAGGAAAAGGAGCTATGTTATCAAGACAGGTAAACAGTGCCAGAGCCTATATGAGAGTTTTGCATGAATTTGCAGGAAAACAAAAGACAACAGTGCAAAACTTACTGGAGGTCACAAATAATCTTAAGCAGCGTGACACAGCCTCACATATGGCTTACTGAAAGTTTAGAGATTAAGCTAACCTTCATGTTTTATTGCAAATACCTCCACTGTAAAGAAATTCAGGGGGTCAGGGATTTGGAAAAGGCAGAGAACGCTATTCTTCATGAAAGTAGTGGGAAATAACATGAAGGTCCTCTGCAAGAGATCTACGGAGGGAAGGCCCCATTCCCTTGGCCACCAACGCTTTAGAAGGCACTTGCACGTCTGAATTTTGTTTAGAAATGGATACAAAATAGAATCATGTGCTAGTGGTTGGCGGGGTGGGGGGGCAAGAAACCAACTGACAGATGCTGAGAAACAGCTTGGTCATCAGCAAGGAAGACCTTCCTCGTTTACTCTAAGGTCCTAGACACCCAGAGAGGAAGAGGAGACGGGTACTCTACAGAAGCTCAGAACGGCTTCCAAGTTCGCCGCGATGAGAGGGAATGGTTGGGAGTCCAGTACGGGTGGCCAACCACGGGGAGGTGTCCCAAATAATCTACTGCCAGACTGAGACAGTCAGCAGCGCTCTAAAGCACTGCTTGAAGTCAAAATCACGGTGCCCTAGATATGCACCGTCTAAGTGCAGAAGAAGCCAAGCTCTGAGGATAGCCTCAGGCGTCCGTCCCCAATTCCCAGCTCTCGCTTACCTACCCGCTCTGACTCCAGCTTCTCCGGATCTCCAGATCTCAGATCCTGGAAGCTGCTCACAACTGACTCTCACACCCGCCGCAGGGCTCCGGCCAACCGGAACTAGCTCACGTCACTTCCGGTCCGTTTTCCCTCCGGGAGACCGCCTCCAGAATAAAAGCGTTCCCCCCTCCTTTCGGCCCCCTCAGCTGATCGTCGCGGGATTTCAGTTAGAGTGTGGGTTAGGGACTTGTGGGCGGGGCGAGAGGAAGAATGACTGTTCTCTTCGCGGTTCTTGATCCGGAACTTGTTGTCAAGGAACCCCGGAAGGGGTAACTCGCGCGAGAGAAGCGAGTTCGTTACCCAGAAGTGAAGAACGCAAAGCCGCAACTGAGGTGGAGGAGAGGTTCTCTAGGTAGGTCAGCCTCTCACAGGTAGGGGGATGTTCTTCATTCTGCCTCCAATTGGAATGTTTCTTCCCATCTAATTTTATAACCACCCCTTCACCCTTTCATCTTCTCCTTCGTAAACTGTCTTCCGTCCAGTGGCCGCCGGAGCCACTGTTCCGGTTCGGCCAGTCGTCTTTTGGAAGAAAGGACCAAGCTGCTGGGGAGGGGAAGGACCCAGAATTTCTAGTTCCCAGGCAACGCCTCCATTGAGGCAGCATTGATAGATTCGCTCCGAATGTGAGAAAATACCGAGCAGGCCTCACACTCTGCTATTTATTGAGTACCCACAGCGTAGCAAGTTGTTGAGTCCTACGAGGAAAGAAAAGGCCTCTAAGAATATGATCGAAAAATTGCCTCCCTGTGTCACACAGACATAATGTCTAAAGGAGTATTTAATACGTTAACAATCCCAGGCACTGTACTAGACGTTGAGAATTATGCTCTACAGTGGTTATGTGTTATTGTTACAGTGACTCTGGAAAGTAAATAATTAAGACTGACTGGGGGGTGGTAAAGACTTAAGAGACAGGTTTGGTTTGAACTACACCTTCATGGGTTAAGAGGGTTTTTTGTGTGTTTAATTGGAGAAAATTATTTCAGGGAGAGATTGCTGCTTGAAAATACCTAGTCATTTGGTGTGGTTGAACAGTACACTGTGTAGCAGGAGAGGAGGATAAAGTAGGTTGAAACCAAATTGCGTAGTTCTTTGAATTCCTGCGAAGGGATTTATGTTTTATTGTTACCCCACCGAACTTGGGTCCACTCACCCAACGGGTAGCAAACGGGTACCCAAAGGGTACTGACACCGGGTTGTGGTGAAAGAAAGCACAATGTTTATTGCAGGGCCCCAAGCAAGGGAGTGGGAGACAAGCTTCAAATCCACTCCAACTTGGTGTTTGAGTTAGGGTTTTTTTTAAAGGGGAAGAACAAAGAGGCTGGAATTAATCATCTTGTAACATTTCTGTGACTTTCCTTAATTGTAGTTTCAGGAGTCAGGATGTCTCTGGTTTATGATTCTCTGGCCAGGTGGTCTATGGCTCGAGGTCTGTTAGCTCATCTTGCCCTGGAGAAACAACCTGAGTGGTAGGTGATATCTACAACAGCAGTTTTAGTGTATTGACAGTGTTATTGACAACAACAATTTTAGTCATCAACTCTGGTTGGTTAGTATTCAGTTAGTGCAGGGTTGAGGTCACAGCAGAGAAGAAAAGGGATAAAGTTTTGGATAGAGAGATTAATCATAAACTCGGTGAGGGACTCAGTTTTAGGGTGACTTGGTTTCCTTATTCCTTAGGCTTTTATCCAGTGATTTTCGAGCAGAGAAATTACAGGATCAGATTTGTGCTTTAGAAGTACAATTAATTATAATGGCAGATGGACTAGGATGAACTAGGGCACAAGTGAACCAAATATGGAAAGATTACAGGAAGTTTGAGAGGGAAGGGAAGATACTGAGTTCAGTGTAGGACACAGTTTAGACCACTTCATAGACATCTAAGTGGTAAAATCTAGCAGAAGCTGGAAGTTCAAGTGTGGTGGCCAGGGAGACGCTCTAGGAATCCTCAGCATTTGTTAATTCAGGAATGAGTGAGATTCTTCATTTCACAAACTATTTATTGTCTATCTCCTCCTACTAGATTGTTCAGTGCGCTTCTCCAGGGTCCAGAACTGTGCACAATAGGCCCTCAGTAAATATTGATTGATTAATTGAATGGAAAGAGAGTATATAAACCAGCACTGTCCAATAGAACTTTCTGCAGTCATGGAAATGTTCCATATCTCACTAACTCATAGAGTGGCACCTGGCCACTTTTAAGCTGTTGAGCTATTGAGCACTTGAAATATGGTTAAATGTAACTGAAGAACTGAATTTTCATTTTGTTTTAATTTAAGTTTAAATGACTACATTTGGCTAATGGTTGCTGTATAGGACAACGTAGGTACAGACTGAAAAGAGGGCCAAATGTGTAAGCTTGGATAATACATACATCAGGAGACAACAGAGGACATATAACCAGAAAAAGAGACTGGAAGAAAGGTATCAGAAAGATAGGATGATAATAGGGTGAACGTTGGGTTAAAGAATTCAAGGAAAGAAAGCTTAAAGAAAAGTTGTCAGTGAGTGGTGCAGAAAACTCAAGATGAGGCCTAAAAAGAGGCAGCTGCATTTGGCAATTAACTAGTGTCTGATTCCTTAGCAGTTTCAGTTGAGTGGGGAAGGGAGACAGGTAACTGAAGAAGTTTAGAGATGAAGGGAAGAGGAAAAGTGAGGCAGTGGTTTAAGGGTCAAAGAGGAAGGATTTTTAGGTTGGAAAAGGCCAAGGAGCAGTAGCCAGTGGAACAGGATAAATGGGGGTAGCATGCTTCAGAAGGTAATGGAATCACGAGCATTGGTGAAAGAGGTTTAATCTGGCTGAGAAATTAGAAGGCACCAAGAGGAGGGTTTTATAGGACATGTTCTTTTGGCAGTGCTGTCATTGCCTGGGATTGTCTATGAGACTAAGATAGTTATTTTTACCTTAGTCTCAAGCACTGGGTTTATTGATACATGTTTATAATAGATATGCAGAAAAGGGGACAGGCTGAAACACTTTTTACAGGTGTTAGATGTTGATCGGATCAGGCTGATAGGAGATTAGAACATTGTAAAGAATAGAGATGCTAGTATTAATTTCAGCGTTTTAGAATTAGAGACCTCAAGATATGGGACAGAAGTGATAAATAAGCTTGGTTATTTCTGGAACTTTTTCTGCTTTCTGTTTATGATGACTCTTACTGGTATATCAGTTTTTAAATAAAGTTGAGAAAATGCGAAACTTTCCATCATGACCTTTTAGACGAGTATGTTCAACATATACTCATGTGTAGTTCCTTTCTACAGATAGTACCTCTGAGTCTGGTATGTGGGATATTTGGTTATTTTGCAACCTAGAAATTGGTGCAGAGAATCCTTCTAGTTCTTGACATAGAAGTTTGTGTGTGTGTGTGTGTGTGTGTGTGTGTGTGTATTTTTTTTTATATAATATATAATTGAATATTTGTTCTATTTGTAGTCTGGTTGTTAGATTATCAGAGAGAAGTCCTGCTGATATGTAAGCATCATGTAGTAACTAAATGATAGATGCATTATGTGATAATGTGGGTTCTAATAAGAATTAAATTTTATTTTCTTTTTTTGTGGCTGCAAAGGCATCTAGAGCCTTAAAGTACCATGTCAGTACAGCCCTGTCACCATTTTAGGCACACCAGTGAAAGAGGGCTGAAACTAGGTGCTGATGACTTAACCATTTATGATGGTCATTCCTTGTCATTCTCCTTTTATCCCTAAATGCTTGTTTCCTCAGGGTTCTGTTTAGCCATTTCTTCCCTCGATATACTTGACCCAGTGGACTTACCCACTTTCATCACTTCAGTAATCTGTTATATATTAATTTCTTTTAAATATGTATTTCTAGCCTAAGCTTATCTTCTGACCTCTTAAATGATATATCTTTTTTTTTTTTCCTGGACATCTCAACCAGGATGTCTTTTGGTCAAACCATACGTAATATATCTAAAACTGATTTTAGTATCTTTTACTTTCAAACCTTCTCTTTCACCAGAATCCCTTCATCAGTAAATAGTATACTTCCAATCTCCATTTGTTCAAATCTAGGTGTCATTCTAAACTTCTCCCTTTCTTTTATCATCAGACTTCCAGTGAGTCACCAAATCATACACGTGTGTCTCAGCCACTTCTTTCCTTTCCCATTGTCACTACTCTTCTCTGAGTGACTGTCATCTCATCTAGACTACTGGGAAAGGCAACAGAGTAGTGTTAAGAACACAGGCTCTGGAGTCAGGCTACCATTTACTAGCTTTGTGAACTTGGGTGAGCTACTTATATTCTCTGTACCCCAATTTTCACATCTGAAAAAATGGGGATTATCTGTATTTATCTTAAAGGACTTTTGGGAACATTGAAGGAGACAATTCATGTAGACTGTCAATACCTAATATACACCTAATATAAAACCTAATTTAGCAATTATTAACTGTTATTATGATTACATTATAGCAGCCTCCTGATCAATCCCCTGTATCTGTTCTTACCAGCTTCTAATTCATTCTTTATACTGAAGTCCCAGGTGATCTCTTAGAAAACAAAAATCATTTCCCTGAAGCAGCTTCTCATTGTCCTTAGGGTAAATTCCAAACCATCTAACATGGCTTACAAGGCCTTCTGTGATCTGCCCTTCTTTCTCACTTTGTTCTCTGCAGCTCTTTCTCTCCATCTTCCAGCAGTCTGGACTGCTTTCAGGTCATTTGACATATTGTATTTCTCTCCTCTGGCCTGCCCACTTGGTGTTCTTTCTGCCTGAAATGATCATCCATCCTTCTATCTTCTTACTGATCCTTTGTTGCATTTTAAATATTTCTTCGACGAGGCCTTCCCTGACCTCCTACACTGAGCTAAAGCACTTTATGTACTCCCCAACACCTTTTTTAAAAAAAATATTTACTTATGTATGTATTTATTTATTTATGGCTGTGTCAGGTCTTAGTTGCGGCACGTGGGATCTTTCGTTGCAGTGCGCAGGTTCTTCGTTGCAGCACACGGGCTTCTCTGTAGTTGTTATGCACGGGCTCTCTAGTTGTGGCACGAGGGCTCAGTAGTTGCGGCTCGCAGGCTCTCTATAGTATGTGGGCTCCAGAGCACGTAAGCTCTGTAGTTGCGGCACGTGGGCTCAGTAGTTGCAGCGCACAGGCTTAGTTGCCCCGCAGCATGTGGTATCTTAGTTCCCCAACCAAGTATCGAACCTGTGTCCCCTACATTAGAAGGCAGACTCTTGTTTGTTTGTTTGTTTGTTTGTTTTTTGGCTGCATTGGGTCTCCGTTGCTGCATGCCAGCTTTCTCTAGTTGCGGTGAGCAGGGGCTCCTCTCTGTTGCAGTGTGTGGGCTTCTCATTGCGGTGGCTTCTCTTGTTGTGGAGCACGGGCTCTAGGTGCATGGGCTTCAGTGGTTGTGGTGCATGGGCTCAGGAGTTGTGGCTCAAGGGCTCTAGAGCACAGGCTCAGTAGTTGTGGCACACAGGTTTAGTTGCTCTGTGGCATGTAGGATCTTCCTGGACCAGGGATCGAACCCATGTCCCCTGCATTGGCAGGCAGATTCTTAACCACTGTGCCACCAGGGAAGTCCTCCCTAATGCCTTTTCATAACAGTTACCAGTCATGTAATTATTTGTCTTCTCCTCCACTCATCTCTGAACAACTGGCAGTGGCCTGTATTGCTCACCACATTCCTAGTCTAACAAGGTATATGTCTGGTACATAGGAAGTCAGCAAACGTTTGGGTTTTTTTTAACTTCTCTTTGCCTCAGTTTCCTCATTTTCAATATATAGAATTAATGCTAACTTCTTACAGTTACGTGGATCAAATGACACAATACATTCAAAGTACCGTTGAAGCTTTGAGCTATGACATGAAATTTTCTTAAAATAAAATGAAAGAAATTCAAAATTAGGACTGAGTCATCTCTAAACCACTACCAGAACATGAGCTCCGTGAGAGAAGGGACTTTTTCTCCTTTGTATGCTCCTGTATTCCCCCAGATCCTAGAGCAGAACCAGTTAATATTTGTGGGAGGAAGGAGGCAATATATCATAAAAATAAAAGAATTAAGAAAGCAGATGAGCTTAATGACACACTTCTGACTATAATTCAGATAACCTACTTCTGTAGCTACACTCGGGAGTTTCCATTTCCAAACTCAAAACCCCAGACATCTCTCTCTAACCACAGCCATCTGCCTTTCCAGCTTACTTCCATCATTCCTTTTCTTAATAGCATGTGCATATCCTCTCACCTTCCTGTCCTTAAATCATTTTATAAGAATATGGATTTCATGGCTTATCATTTCAAACATTCTTGCCTTCACCCTAAATTCCCTTATGCCCCTTGTCTTGGTGCTTGCTTTTAGTAGAATTCAAACTTGGATAAATCCAGCTATCTGTCGTAGGTGGGGAGGATGAAGGAAGAATATAGGTGCAGCAGATTTAGTTTATATGTTTGGAGGCAGTGATTATGTGGTTTTAGTCTTCTGGCTTCTGTTTTCTCTGTGAAGTATGAAGTCATCTCTTCTATATTTTTACCTATACTCAGGCTGCTAAGTACTGCTGGAGAAGATCATAACTGGTAGGTATGGTACCATTATAAAATCATTATTAATCCTAACCATGTTTTCAGTGTTCCTCTGCAATCCTGCTGTGTTTGCTGTAACTTTTATTTCAGTCTTCCTCTTCTCAACTCCAGCTTGTCTTTTGTACAAAATAACTCCCTCCAAGGAACAATCTCCTGCTTCCAAATCCACAGCCCTACCTGCATCTAAACTTGTCACATTGGGAAAGGTGTCCCTTCTTTCCAAGACCAAATCTCTTCACAGGGACTTAGGTGCCTCCCACCTACTGCTTTGTATTATTAATTATTCTTTACCTATCTTGAGCATCTACCTACCTTTTCTCTGGGTCCATCCATTAACATTTAAATATGTTCAACATTTGTATATACTCATCTTTCCATCCTAAGAGGGGAAAAAAAACCTTTCCTTTTTCTTCATAGCCCCTTGTATCCGTTGCTTTTTCTTTCTGCTTTGCTTTCACTTTCTCTTTCTTGACCCCGCCTCAAACTAGCTTCTGCCCCACAACTACCCCACATTAGTTTTTTGCCAAAACTAATGGACAGACTGTCTCAGAGTGCTATCAGCTTCTGGAAATACGTTCTTCACCACATTGTCCTGGTATTCCTGCCTCTGTATCTGTAAAAGTTGGCCATTTAAGAAGGCAGCTCCAGGGACTTCCCTGGTGGTGCAGTGGTTAAGAATCCACCTGCCAATGCAGGGGACATGGGTTCGAGCCTTGGTCCGGGAAGATCCCACATACCGCGGAGCACCTAAGCCCGTGCACCACAGCTACTGAGCCTGCGCTCTAGAGCCCACGAGCCACAACTACTGAACCTGCGTGCTACAACTACTGAAGCCCACACACCTAGAGCCCATGCTCCACAACATAGAGAAGCCACCGCAATGAGAAGCCTATGCACCACAGTGAAGAGTAGCCCTGCTTGCGCAACTAGAGGAAGCCCTCGCACAGAAACGAAGACCCAACACAGCCAAAAATAAATAAATAAATTTATTTTTTTAAAAAAAAGGAATGAAGTATTGATACATGCTACAGTGTGGATGAACCTTGAAAATATCATGCTGGATGATAGAAGCCTGAAACAAAAGGCCACATATTGTATGGTTTGATTTATATGAATGTCCAGAATAGGCAAATCCATAAAGACAAAGTAGATAGTGGTTACCAGAGACTGGGCGAGGGAGAAATGGGAAGGGACTACTAATGGGTGTAGGGGTTTCTTTTTGGGGCAGTGAAAATGTTGTGGAATTAGATAGTGGTGATGGTTGTACAACATTGTAGATATATTAAAAAACACTGACTTGTATGCTAAAAAGGTGAATTTTATAGTATGTGAATTACATCTCAAAAAAGTTTGATCCCCTATATTCTCATTTTAAAATATTTGATAACATTGCATACTTTGCCTACCGTATAATTTCAAAGACATTAATATATTCTAATTTTAACAGAAAAGAGAATAAAAAACTTTATGGTAAAATATGTATTTCCAGGACTGCCATCTATGCCACACAGATTATGCACTGTACAATTCCAAGGGCACCACTTGTAAGTTCTACAAACATGATGGCCCCATGTATTTCAATGTATAAATGCTTAGATACTATTTATTCCACTAGAAGAAACTGATGACTGTTTGTGCCTATACACTGAAGCGTCATGAATCCAACAGCCTCAAATGTAGAGTGATATAAGTGCTTTATTGATGATTCAAATACCATGAACAGCTTTGCTGGGGTAATAGGAATTTCTAAAATAATAAGGATAAAGGATTATCTTCCTTTGATTTATATGATAGTTATACTACTGGTAAATTGAGTGTGTTAAAACTACACAAAAAAACTTTGTGTTCGTATGCAAAATGAAATTGGGTTCTACTCTCAGACATTAATAGTTTTTCATCTACAGTAATGTCCAGTGGGACAAATCTTCACGTGTAAGGCTTTTAACATTCCATGCCAAGGTCTAGTAAATGTCAGCAGCACACCTCACTCCAGGCCCGTTGTTGTGACAACCAGGAACTTCTCTGAGGGGTTGGTACCATCCCCATTAAGAATTAATGCAGTACGAAGAACAAGTAAATAAGCACTCACTATATTCCAGAAACAGTGAGTTAATCTTGGTTTCTCTAGATCCTTTAGGCATCTTGGTAAAACAGAACATTTCCTTTCTCCACAAGACTTAGCAAAAATTGAGGAACGGAGCTATGTTGTATCCAAGAAAGAGATGTACTCCTCACATTGAGATTCAAAATGACCTAAACTGCTTCACCTGTATTCTTGAACCTTTTGTAGTACACAGGGGAGAAAAAATAGTACATGCCTAAGATCCAAAACATATTTTGCCTTTTTTCTGGATGAATTAAAATATTGCTGCTTATATACTGTCAGGATGTTTTATCTGATAAGCCTGTAACTTTCCACTGCTAGATAGTGACAACTTTCTTTTCCTTTCAGATGCTCTCCAAACCCTTGGTTATGGAATATTTGACTAATCCTGGTGCACTCAGCTTGGCTGCCGGCGTTGCTTGTGGCATGTGCCTGGGCTGGAGACTCCGAGTACGCTTTGGAATGATCCCCAAGAGCTCGGTGAGCGAGACAGACACTGACACCAGAACAGAAGCAAGCATCTTAGGAGAGGGTGGGGAGTACAAAATGATTCTTGTGGTTCGAAGTGACTTAAAGATGGGAAAAGGGAAAGTGGCTGCCCAGTGCTCTCATGCTGCTGTTTCTGCCTACAAGCAAATTCAAAGGAGAAACCCTGAATTACTCAAACAATGGGAATACTGTGGCCAGCCCAAAGTGGTGGTCAGAGCTCCTGATGAAGAAACTCTAGTTGAATTATTGACCCATGCAAAAATGCTGGGACTGACAGTAAGTTTAATCCAAGATGCAGGACGTACTCAGATTGCACCAGGCTCTCGAACTGTTCTAGGAATTGGGCCAGGACCAGTAGACCTAATTGACAAGGTCACTGGCCACCTAAAACTTTACTAGGTGGAATATTGTATGATGATGGTCATCCCACCACCACAAGGGTTTGAAACTGTCAAATTCTAACAATAAAAGCTGAATTTCTTCCCCCAACTTATGTATTCTTGAGATGAAAATCCATTCCTGTGTTCTTCTATCATGTACTTGGCCTGGTTACACAGTTATCTTGGGCTGAAAAAAAAAAAAAAAGTTTGGTTAATAAATAGTCCTGGTGGTTCAAGAGATGGGTGCTGAAACAAGAAATATTTAAGATGAGAGGCAAAGGTCAAAATAAAATTGGATTACGAGGTGGGAAACAGCATTTCCTATGTGTGGTTCGGTCCCTTTGTGTGTTAATAGCTCTTCTATTACCCACCTTGGAGCATTAGGGGTCAGGGGTACTACCATTAGGTGTAAACTGTAGTTTGTTTTTCCTGCCTTCAGTTTTTGGATGACTGCCTATATTAATAGATCATGGGTTTAAAATCTAACTTTGTGGATTTGTCTTAAAGCTGAGGTTTTATAGCACTGATATAATCCACCCGTGCCGTGTTTCATGTTCATTCCCTAACCCACACTGGCTAAAGTTTCTCAGCAGTGGTCCTACATCTCTTTAGTTCCCCCCCTTTCCTAACAATGAAGGCATTGAAACTTGCGAAGTGACCTGTATGGACCTTGAAGGTGATAATGGGCCCACGTAAGGATTTATGGTAATTGTAAAGTGAAGGTAGCTTAGCCCAACATCCCACTATTTCTTTACCTAGAACTTAAGAACTGGACAATTATTCAAGGGCACCTTATTTCCCTTTTGATCGTTATGCACTTAGCATGACATAATTCCAATAATTACTATGTTATACCAGCTGCCCAGAATATGAAGGTTCCAGCTCCCAAGAGCCACATAGCTTCCTGATTGCTTTTTTGCAAAAAGGGATCCTGACAGGATTTCTAATTTCAGTATATCCCTAAGAACTATTGATGATGTCAGGGAGAACTCTGGTAACAGGCACACGTTAAGTTACTGCAGCTCTCCATGGTTAACTTCAGCAATTAGCATTAGTTAGCAGTTAACTTCAACATAAGCAGTAATATAGAACAACTGCAAGCTCTAAGGTCAGTGGAGTCTGGGCAGAACACTAAAGACTACTGCAGCCAGTCTTAAAGGTTCTATTTCGTCAGTTTTATAGTTTACAGTGGCATCTGACAGCACAGAAGAAATTGCAACTGTGAAGGATGCTACAATAGCAACTGTTTCTAAATAGAATGTTTATACTGGATTGGAAAGTGATGCAACAGCATGTAACTGAGTTGAAGAGAACCCAATCCTAAATGTATGATTCTGGCTTCGGTAATTTCTGAGGCTTGCCTCAGAGACTGATGGTTCTAGGTTCAAAAGTGCATTCCCAACAGGATGGTCTGCCGTGGCTGATATAAGTAATTTTAATAAATCATGGCATATCTACTAAGATGAATAGTACACAAATTCTGGTAGTTATGTAAACATCATGTTTGTTTTCTAGCTCACCTGTACTTTCATATTTATTTTATAGGGTTCATAATCTTATGGTTCACAGAGTATACTCTGCAGAGCCATTGGGGTCTCTAAGACACTTGCAAGGAGTCAAAACAGTTTTCCTAATACTAAGGCATTCTTTTCCTTTTCCACTGTTTTGACATTTGCAGTGATGATAAAAAAGCAATGGTGGGTAATACTGCTGGCACCTTTCACAAATCAAGACAGGGGCACCTACCTGTACAAGTAGTCATTGTAGTTTTCACTGCCCTACACTTAGTTTAAAAAAAAGAAAATTTCACTTCATGTCCTTGAAGAAGCAGTAAAAAATTATTAAATTTGATCCTTGACTGTTTGTCTTTATATTTTATGTAACATCAAACAAACACTTCTGGTGCACACTGAAGTGTGACTGTCATCTCGAGGAAAAACACTTGTGGCTGAGTCCTGAGCTGAACTAGCTGCTTTTGTCATCAAACATTTTTACTTGCAAGAACTGACAAAATCTAGTTAACCAGACCTGGATGTTTGGCAGATATAACTACAAAAAGTTCATCTTCATGATTTCAGAGTCCACATTTCAACTAACCACAAGTATCTGGAAAGGCTATTAAAATACTCCTTCCTTTCCTTATTAAATATCTGTATGCGGCCAGATTTTCTTCATATACTTCAAAACATAACAGATTGAATGCAGAAGTAGTTATGAGAGTCCAGCAGTCTTCTGTTACAACAAACTTTAAAGAGACTTGTAAAAAATAGTACAATGCCATTCTTCTTGCTTGACTTTTGGTTGGGGAAATATGGTTAATTCATTATTGCTTACGTTAACGTTCAGTGAGTTTATTAGTCATATTTAAATGGTTAATAGTTTAAAAAAATTGTTTTAACTACTAAAATACAGTAAGTATGAATAGATAAAACCCCACATAAACTAGAGCTCTTTGGGATCTTCAGTAATTTGAGTATAAAAAGGATCCTAAGAAGAAGTTTGAGAACCGCTACAGCAGCGGTCCCCAACCTTTTTGGCACGAGGGACTGGTTTCATGGAAGACAATTTTTAAACGGACTGGGGTGGGGGCAGGGGGTGGTTTTGGGATGATTGACGCACATTACATTTATTGTGCACTTTATGATTATATTGTAATATATAATGAAATAATTATACAGCTCACTATAATGCAGAATCACTGGGAGCCCTGAGCTTGTTGTCACTTGCCACTCAGAGTTCTGAGAGTCTGCAGTCAAACCTCTCTGCTAATGATAATCTGTACTTGCAGCCGCTCCCCAGCGCTAGCATCACTGTCTCAGCTCCACCTCAGAGCATCAGGCGTTAGATTCTCACAAGGAACACGCAACCTAGATCCCTTGCATGCGCAGTTCACAGTAGGGTTCGTGCTCCTATGAGAATCTAATGCTGCTTCTGATCTGACAGGAGGTGGAGTTCAGGCGGTAATGCGAGCAATGGGGAGTGGCTGTAAATACAGGTGAAGCTTCACTCTCTCGCCCACTGCTCACCTCCTGCTGTGAGGCCCCATTCCTAACAGGTCCCCAGGTGTTGGGGACCCCTGCACGACAGTGAGAATATCTGCATGACTAAATCAATTTATGGAAAATTAAAGCAGCCCTACTTGGAGAACATCAGTCTCTTGCTATTGTACCAATGTCTGTTGAAATGATTGTCAACAATTATCAGATTTTTTTTTTGGTATAATGTCTATATTTGGATACTAGGGAGGAAGAGGAAAAAGTGTTCTTCCTAGGGAGGCAGATAACTGAAAGCATGTTTACCTCCTGAAAAGTTTCCTATGAATCTCTTTCCCCTTCTTCCCTCCTGTTTTAGTTACCTTTAGAGAGTGGTAAAGAACTCTTAGTACTCTTGGTTTTGTTTTTAGTTCCTTCTCCCAGACCATCGACCATCATCCTATTCAGAGGAAAGTTAGTTAGGGAAGATCCCTTAAATTACAGTTTATTACCAATTCATTGTCTCTTATTGTACAGCACTTACTACTGCCCAGTACTGAGCTAGGTGTTTTGTAATTTAAACATACTCCTACAAATAATCCTAAAAATTACTCATAGTGTTAACATACAGGTGAAGGAACAAGCTCAAAAGTTCAGCTTGCTCTCAATTTGAACCTAAGTTATATGCTGCATCAGTTTCTCTTTCTACTGTAGCCCATTATGGATGGTTTTAAGGGGCAACTCAGTATCACAGACATAGCACCAGATTAAAACAAGGCTTCAAAAAACAAACAAACAAACAAAACTCTTAAGTGTGCCGTAAGAAAACCTTTACTGAAGTATTTTAACTTGTTTCTATTAAATGGGAAGGGAAAAGAGAAAAATCTCTTGATTTTGACAAAGATGAAGGAAGGGGGCTGAGATCCAGGAGAAACAACAGGACGCCCAGGACCTGAGCAGCAAGGTGTTTTCCCTATGACAAGCCAAGGAAGGAAAAGGGATTTTCCCAACTAATACTATAATTTCCTATAGGAATATTGG